TACGACATGAATGTCACACGTTCGATGTTTACATATGCTAATTTTGTTGAACGTATATATTAATGGAGTTCTTATGTCTTGATCATGCAAAATCCAGACATGGTTGTTGATAGAACAATTTACTTTTTATGTCTTATTATGTTTATCCAACTTTGTCGATAAAACTTATCATGACGATTATTTTCGTACTAAGAACTTATTAAAACATTTAAGGATGGTTGAAACCAAAATAACCGTTTATTTCAAGGCAAAAATCTTGCACTAAATTTATAAAAACCCATTATTCTTTTGAGATAATCAAAATCGAAAGAACAAACTGATATAAAACGAAATTAATGGATCATTAACTAAACGTTTACCAACAAGAGTCACGACCTCACTTTCCTTATTAACATTCTCGGAGCTGTTGCTAAATGTCTCTTACCCTTTAAGCAGTAATCATGTACGAGTTTTATTCCTCACTTATCATATAAGATTCTTATTGTTTGTTATACTTTTTATTGAATAAGATTCTTGGACTTTATCATATAAACTGTTAAATAATTAATAAAAACAAAATATAATTTTTTATTATTATTGTTGAAGAAAGATGAGCTAAACCATAAAATTTAACCTCCAAATTCCAAACATGTGGATGTACTAAAAATGGATAATATTATGATCCAAGGGACAAGGAGGAATGAGATTTTGACGAAATCAATAAAATGAAGGTTGGATTGGATAAAGTTGCCAACAATATCAATTAACAATCTTTTGTTTCTTTTATTTATTTAACGACACTTTGACATTCTATTTTCTAACCTACCGACAATACAACTATGCATTGTCTTATCTTGTCTATCTTATTTCATTCATTTTTAACTGATTCAATTCGTCTAAACTGATTTAAGTTTTTTTTTCATATACATTTACATAAACTGTATTAAAGATTAATAACATTTACTCTATTCAAAAGAAAAATCCAACCACAAGGGTGGTGCCTGATTGGTTTGAGTTTGGTTCCAAAGATCAAAAGTACCAGGAGGTCTCAGGTTCAAATCCAATGAGGAATAAAAATCCACTTGTGGCCACGGAAGTTCAAATGCGTTGACTCCGGGCTATCTGCAAAAACAGATGGTCACCCTGGGATTAGTCGGCTCACATAACGGATTGGATATCCAGGTTAATAAAAAAAAAATCCCTCAAATATAAAACACTAATTCATCTGGCAATCATCATAAATTATTCTCGAAACTAAAAACTACTATTCATTCATCAATTTTACAAAGTTTCCATTTTTATTATTATTTGATCAACAAATAATGATTATGAATTTATTCTCTTAGTATATATTAAATGCTGAAAATCATATAAGACAAAGAAAGCTTACTCATATTTTTGATACTACGAGTGTTGGAGTCGTTTTGCATGCAAATCGACTAATTCCATTAGGTTATCATAACAACCAACATGCCTCTAGTCACCTTAATAGGGATGGTGATTTGTCCCGACCCGGTGAGGAACCCGGTTCACCCAACTCGAATGGGGACGGGGATTCCCTGCTAAAACGGGTCTCGGGGTCGGGGCCGGGGATTTCTGGTAGAATCAAATTAAAAGATATTGTTTACGGGGTTTGATTGGAGATTGATAGAGGTTTAACTGGGGACGGGATTTTAATCCCCGGACCCGCCGGAGACTGGGGCCATGGACGGGGATTACAAAACCCGCCCCATCCCCTACCCCTACCTTAAGAGACTTTAACGAATGATAATCGAAAGTAAACCCAAGATCTTACCATTTGAGATATTTGTAAAGGTTTATGAAACCAATTTTCTTAAAAGAACAAAGAAGAATAAAAAAAAATACAATGGTTGACTCAAGAAAAATTTGTATAGTTCTATGAAACCATCATTTTTAAGTTCGGTTTATTTGGATGCGACAGGAATAATAAATAAGTTGACGATAATTAACTAGGAGTCTAATTTAGTAATGGACGGTTTATTTTAATAAGCCTATAAGGTAATAATTATGCATTTGCTTGTATAAGATGACAACATTCGTCGATGTCTCATACTCTCTCGACCAGGTCGTCATAAGAACCTGCAAAATCTATTGTGAGTCGTACTAATCTTTTGCAAAGAAAAACACTTTCTCACTTTAAAATGTATGTAGAGATGGCAAAAATCTGGACCTTAATTGGTTTTCAAAAAAATTATAACTAGTATTAACCGATCGGGTCTTAACCGGTTCCTAACCAAGCTCGTCCTGATTCCAAGTCGGCCCCGATCCAACCGGTTAAATTTGGCCATAGATAGTGCACTCAGGCCTAATAAACTTGCAGAAACAAAGTTTTGATTAAGATGGTTAACAAACCAAGAGGTGTCTTTAGCAATGGGCCTAACAGGCTTCATCAAATACCAATCTTTACACATATGATATGAGTGATGGCCAAACCCGGTCTGGGACCGCCGGACCGGTGAGGACCGGATATGAGACTGTCGGTTATGACTGGTTATGCATTTTGTCGGATTTGTGAGACCAGGATTGGTTATGAGACCGATTAAGGACAGGCCGGGCCTGAATTTTTTTAAAAAAGAGTCGTTTCATAGCTGTTAGAGAGACGTTAGAGAGCCATTTTTTTTTGTAGTTTTTAGCCTCAAAACACTATAAATATATGTTTTGGTTGAGAGGTTAACATACCAAATTCTCAATTTGTAAAACGATGTAATTTTATTTATAATAAAACATATTTTTAAAGTGTATTTGAGTGGCATGTACGACAAATTTAATAATGTATTAAAAATATATATCCTTCAAAAAAATTAAAAAAATATATTTTTTTAATATCAGGACTGGGACCCCATAACCGGTTATAGAATGGCTTGACCGGTCTTCACCTTTTCAACCGGGACCGGTTATGGCCGGTTATGCATAACCTTATGACCGATCGGGACCGGCCCGGGACCGGTTTTTTGCAACCACTAGATATGACCATAAAAATCCAACTTCTTTATTGGGCTTTATTTGGGCTAATAAGCAAAAACTGAAAATGCCCAAGCCCACTACTTAACGAAAAAGAAAAATTTACCATTTAATATCAGTAAAGTAAATATTTTCAGATATATATAGGTGGAGGTTCAAACGAGAACCCCTGTGATTTACGAGAACAACCTAATAACCTCAAACCTTTTTAATTAATAAATTAACTTATATTAAATATAAATAAATTAATAAGGGCAGTAATGTAATTAAGTATTTTTTATAATTTTTATTTTATTTTAATTAGTCATAATTATCCTTTTTTTTCCTATACGTTTGTTTTCACTCTCTTCTTTCCCTTTGTGATAATTGTGTGATTGTGTAACCATAACCTATCGAAACCATGAYCAGTCAAGTGTAACCATAACCTATCGAAACCATGAATAATCGTTGTGATAAATGTGTGATTGTCTAACCCTAACCGATCGAAACCATGATCAAATTGAGTGCGCAAGTGATGTTATAATAGTGATATCACATGATTATCACACTCATATCACACCAAATCGTTTAGTGGATGTCCCCCGTAATCGTTGTGATAAATGTGTGATTGTCTAATCCTAATCTATCGAAACCATTAGTAATCGTTGTGATAAAGGTGTGATTGTCTAACCCTAACCGATCGAAACCATGATCAAATCGAGTGCGTTGTTATGATAGTGATATCACATGATTATCACACTCATATCTCATCAAATCGGTAGTCGATTTTCTAAGTTAACCCTAACCGAGCGGAATCCTTGTGATAATTGTGTGATAATCACATGATTATCACACCAAATCGTGTTGATATAAACGATAATGTGATAATCACATGATTATCACACCTATATCACACCCAAATCGTGTTGATATAAGCGATAATGTGATAATTGTGTGATAATCACATGATTATCACACCCAAATCGTGTTGATATAAGCGATAATGTGATAATTGGCATGATTATCACACCTATATCACATGATTAACCGTTTATTAGATAATGATAATCATGATCGTGTGTAATCGTGTTAAAAGATTTTATGATATCATTTCCATTATTACCCTTTTATTTTTAATATTTTTGAATCTTTTTAAATTTCAATTTTAAAAATCTTTTAATTTTATTTTTTATCACAATATGAGGTTATTGGGTTGTTCTCGCATTCTCGTAAATCACAGGGGTTATCGTTTGAACCCTTCCATATATATATATATATATATATATATATATGGTTGGGTTCACGTGAGACTAAAGGTTTTCCGCGAGACCCGTAAGACCAATTTATGTTCATTGATCAACTTTATAAGCATATGATCTAATAGTCTAAAGTTGCACAGTGACAATTTTGTAATTATTGAGAAGTCTCGTGGCGTTTATGAATGTTCAGATCTGACGATTGTAGATCTAATTCAAGGGTTGAGAATTGGTGTTACGGGTCTCACGAAAAACTACTGGCCTCACATGATCTCAAGTATATATATATATATATATATATATATATATATGTATGTATATATATATATAGGGTTGGGTTCACGTGAGACCAAAAAATTTTCGTGAGACCCGTAAGACCAATTTATGTTCATTGATCAACTTTATAAGTTAAAGATCTAATTGTCTAAATTGCACAGTGACAATTTTGTAATTATTGAGAAGTTTCATGGCGTTTGTGAATGTTCAGATCTGACGATTGTAGATCTAATCCAAGGGTTGAGAATTGGTCTTACGGGTCTCACGAAAAAGTCTTGGTCTCACATGATCCCAAGTCTATATATATATATATATATATATGTATAATAAAATTAGTGAACTTTATTTACAGTTTAATAAATAATGTACATAATTATGAAACTATCATAAGTTTTATTATACATATATATATATATATATATGTATGTATAATAAAACTTATGATAGTTTCATAATTATGTACATTATTTATTAAACTGTAAATAAAGTTCACTAACATACCTAACTGATAACAAATATTAATTTACTTTCACATACTTATAGTAAAAGTTAAACGATGGTATTTATGAAAACTATATATATAGTTATAAATTTGTTACTGTTTTCAATGTAGTCTTAGAAAGAAAATGCTCAATTCCTGGCCATTTTCAGCACCTTCAAGATTGATCATATGAAAAGCTTCAGAATCCTTACTTCCAGCCACTCTTCCAAACCTTGCCCTCATATATGTCAACTCTCCGTCCATCGCCGACAACCCCGGCAGAACTCCGGCACCCATCGACACACCCCTCAACGATTGCATCACATAAACCTCATCATCCGTCATCTCTTTCCTCCTAATCGAGTATCCGTATTTCCTCCCATTACAATAGACCGCCCACACAAACTCCTCCAACACCTTCTTCTTTCGACTCGTCGTCTCGCTTTCGAGTGACAGACGCACGGTATCTGACGCCATCTCTCTCTGGAAGGCACTTGAGTTCATCGGGAGCTCGATCACAAAGACAGGGAGGCGGTGCGGATCCTCTTGGATGGCTAGACTCACTTTCCCTCTTCGGTACCCGAATAAGGTTCCGGTGGTGGCGTGATCGGTTAGTAGCGGTCTTCGTGGCCGTCCTAACAATGCAACCATTTTGCAACCGGAGGTTAACATGGGGAGAAGCTTCAACATGCGGAAGATTCCTCCGCTGCCGCTGCCGCTGCCGCTGCTTTTGGACCGCTTTCCGGTTCGAGTGGTGTGTTGTAGCAATGATATGAGAGTTGGGTTTTCCATGAGGGAGAATTATCAAGAATATGGATGGTTAATTGGTTATGTGATATATATATATATATATATATATAATTGAAATTAAAAGAGAATAATATTTATTTAAAAGAATATAAAAATATCATAGATCGATATTTTAAAAGACTTCTCAATAATCATAAAATTGTTACCGTGCAACTTTAAACTATTAGCTTATAAAATTAATTAATAAACATAAATTGGTCTTACAGGTCTCACGTGAACCCAACCATATATATATATATATATATATATGGACTTAATCAAATGGGAACTAATTAGTTTGTGGTAATCGTGAGGTCCAATCTTAACCACAAATCAATAGATAAATTAGAAAATTTATAATTTTTAATTAAAATTTTAATTTAAGAATATTTTAGGTATTTTCTCTCCTCCATTCTCTCTCTGTCTCCGGGCCACCGTCTTCCGATGATACCACAATGGTATCACAATGCATCTTATATGTGATTGAGTATCACATTGTGGTCGTTTGTGCGGTCGATCGGATATGTAACATAGTGGTATCACAATGCATCTTATATGTGCTTGGGTATCACACTAAGGTCGTTTGTGTGGTCGATCAGAGATGTAACACAGTGTATCACAAATGCATCTTATATGTGTTTGGGTATCACACTATGTCTTTTTTTTTAACAAAGTCAATATTTTTAGATATCACAGTGGTATCGCCAGAGGACGGTAGCCGGAGGATGGAGGACGGGGGACGGAGAGAGAAGAGAGGAGAGAGAAAAGTTTTTAAATACCTAAAATGTCTTTGTATTAAAATTTTAATTCAAAATTACCAAAATTATAAATTTTCTAATTTATCTTATTGATTTATGATTGAGATTGGATCTCACAATTATCACAAATTAGTCAATTCTCCCTTGAATGGACCTATATATATATATATGGATATAAAAAAAAGTGGAATATTTGTTTTAGTGATTAATAATTGAACAGAAGTGGATATCAACATTCAACATGGGGGTTGTTATCAACGAGTTAGGTTTGTGCTTTTCTTTTTCCCCCATGCCCCCTCCCCCTACTCTCCTTGCCATAATGCATAATGCGACTTTAGAGATGTCGCTATTTATTCCACTTAACGATCCATTTTTAGCTCCCATGCCTTCATTTCTAAACAAAACAAACTTTACAGCAACATTACTTTTTTAATGATTTTGATGTTTCAATCATCCAAACATATAGATGCCGTACGTGTCCAAGTATAGCCTAGAATCGTTCTTCTTATAATCGTGAAATCAGATAAAACTCCAAGAACAAGATGTTAGGGATTTTCACATCACGTATCATTTAGTAACTCGGTATGATGCCATTTTCTTAAGCTCCTCCATCGTACGAGTCCCACAATCATTATAACCAAAGTAAATCACATATCCTAACGGCAGGTAAATCATAAAGTCTAAACTATAACCCCATACCTCTTTTCGTTTAGTAAATAATCATGGTTTTTAATTGAAATAAAACTGTAGGGGTGTATTTACCAAATGCTTACCAGTAAGTGTTTATCGAGTGTCCCTTGCCTTAAACGGGTGGGAATGGCAAGAACCAGAATCTTACCCAGCAAAAGGCATAACAAGAACCGATAAGTGAGGGAGAAGACTCTTACCTAATAAGCACTTGACGGGTAAAAGACGCTCACCAACAATCAATTTTAATGGCGAAGATTATTACCTGATAAGGCAATTGAGGATGTTGATTATTGCCGGTAATGACTTACCTGATAAATGTTTGATAAACAGCCTTGATTCTTATCGATTGTCCCATAAATTAGTAAAGTAAAATTGCTCCAAACAAAACTGTCACTGTCTAAACAATCATGGAACTCAGAAACCTTTCAGTCTACACCCAAATGATTGACATATTTAACAAACCATGTTGAAACAACTGGCATCCATAACCAACAGTAGTAGCAGGGTATATACGCCACTCTAGGAACTATTTAGAAATGACACCCTAACTAGCAAACCACCAAAACAATTTGAAAACTAATCATAAAGGTGGTCTAACGAACCTTGAAAAAATAGTTTTTGGGAGAGAAGGGAAGTCTCATAAATATGGAAGAGAAACAGTCCAAGTCCAGCTGCTGTCAGACTCCAACAAAGCCTCGGATTGTCCCAGAGTGTAAAGAAGGGCCTAGGCTAGATAAACACAGATTGCCTCAGAGTGTCGAGTCCGAGTCCATACACCGGTAGATCTTGGCTTTGGTAATATAAGAAAATATGTGGAACCCCATTAGATTACTCTCCAAAACACATAAAAAAGAAATGGTTCAAGTCTATCCAATGGTGGGGACTCTTAACTCATCGTATATAACGCTTTATTTTGCATTTTGCAACTACTCATCCGATCTGAGGTCACGAAAGCGTGTAAGGTTAGCTCTAATATTCAGGCCCTGTTTCCGTGGGTTAAAGGAGAGGGCAGTACAACCTTTGGGCCACCTCAATTATAAGGATAGAAAGCAGATGAGATGAGCAACTGATTGCATATAACACAAGGATGGTCCCTTGTATGACTTTCTTTTACATATCGTATAAACCATTAGATGTGTGGGGCTCCTAACTCCATTACAAGATTAGGTTCAAGATAGATAACTCATACAACAACAAGACCAACTAAAATCAAATTCATGTCCTTAGGCATACCCAATTCACAAAGGTGGCATTCGGACATGTTTAAACCTACGATCCTTTTGGGAAGTTAGGAAACCAAAAGCAACCCCAACTCAGATTTGGGGCAGATGGTATTTAAATAGAAAAAAGAACACCAGAATCAGAGAAAGTATTTTGTTTTCATAGTAAGATGAGAAGGAACAAGATTATCTATGATGGGTCCGACTCCATGTGCTCGCTTTTGAGGAGTTAAACATTAGATAATTAGGGTAGTTGTGCTTGTAGAGGGTGGGTTTGAGGGTCCAGAGTCTTGAGATAGGCTTGCAGTATCTTTTTATAGGAACAGGAAGGGTGTGCTTTCTAGCTGGGTAGGCTCTTTGCTTTCTTTTACAATTCTGTCTAGAAACATTCCTTTTTTGCATTACTTGACATTTTTCACAAGCTGAGGGTTTTCTCTAAATCGGCCTCTCTAAATGTAAGGTTTGCATAAATCTTACCCTCCAAGACCTTACCACCGGGTGGAATACTAGTATTGTTTGGTTTAGATGTTACATACTTAACCTAGTCCAGTGCTATTCTTATCATAATCCTGTAACAAAGAACAAAAGATTTTGATCAAAATAATCTCTTTTTTTCTTATATATAAGGTTAGTCTAATACCAGGGTGTATGATTGTTATATATATAAATATACACTTACGTTATGTACAAAACAAATCAGTTATCCTTATCCAATTGCAAGGGCTTGAAGTACTTTCCATCTATGAGATAAGTACCAATAGTCAGACGAACTGCCCATACATCCTTGGGCTTCCTTGACATAATCCTGCACATGTTGTAAGGAGGTTTAATCTACTTCAGATAAAAAGCTCCAGCATCTGGATTTCACTTTTGAATTTAATATTTTATAAGGAATAACTTGGCCCGTAGCAGCATAGGTGTATGACTCACACGGTCTCTCTAACAAACACAGCATACATCATACAGACATAAACAGATACACCATGCACACACATATAGAGAGACGGTTCTGCCCTTTTTTCTCTCAAAGCGCATAGGCTTGTGGTCTCGTTAGCCATAGCCCACGCCATGGTCAAAATTCGTGCACACAAGGTTCATTAAACAAAACGACATTATTTTGGTGGCTTGCCACAGCCATATCCATAATATTGCCTACTTTTTATTAAAGGTGTATTTCCACTTTAAACAAAAGATACTTCATTAAATAAAAAATATAAATAACATGTCTATGATTTTCCATCCACAAGTAATAGTTGTTTAGAAATGGAAATATCAAAATGGTTTGTTAGTTTGTATAGAACACATCATTTAACGAAAAATGTTTTGCTGTCTAAACCATGTGTCGGTGTGTGAGAGAGGGAGAGAGAGTACCTGCCAACATCACCGGCTTTAACTAAGCCAGAATTAACTCTGAGACAAGGAACAGAAGCTGCCGTCTTCAACATTGTAGGAGCTTCAACTATGATGATTGGGGACCCTATCTGTAGTGAAGTGGAAACTTTTGGCGTCTCAGCTGATGGATCTTTCATTTCAGACATAATTCCACCAATAAAACTCTGATTACTTCGGACACCCCAGCACTATTTGAAACGGCATAGAGAAAAATTGAAGAAGAAAATTGTGAAGATCCATTTCTAAAACGTTGAACAGAACAGTCATGTTGTAGTTATGTACTCAGCCAAACACAGTATCTTGCCAAATAACTCCAGCTGCATTTCTAATGATCCATTAGCATGAACCTAACACGATATGTAATTAGGATCCAAATCCTTCATCGTCAAGTTAGTATACTTAGATTTATAAGAGGTTGTTTCTATCTCATAGCTTAAGTGAGAGCACGAACTTTTGGGCTAACTCCCTCTTTCACACACTTTTCAAATGTCGGGGGTGTTCATAGAAACAACCACTCTACTCTTTGGTAGAAGTTAGGTCAGCATACATCTTCCCACCCACCCCTGGGGTGGGGTATGAGAAAAAGGTATTAATGCCAGTTATAGCTAAGGTGTTTGGAAAATTAATCCATGAGATTGGTTTAAAGCTTGCATTTGCTAGCAAGCCTTATACTTAAAGTGTACGTTTCATGTTTTCGAGAAGAACATGGTTAAAGTGGTTGCAGGCGGTGCTTTGAGTGAAAGACCATTGTATTTAAATTAGTATTATTTTGGCAAATGTTCCAAGTGAACCATGGTGTTCCATGTGTGCGAATTGGGAAATGTTCTATATGGGCCTGATTTATTCCTTTTGTGAAGCGAGTCTTAAAGAGTTATTCTGAAAATAGATGGGTTATTGGTTGATTCAGTGGGATTCTGATTATTATTGATTTAGTACGGTTTTTAAATAAAATGTGTTTTAGGACTGCGATATACTCAAAAGAGAACAGTCAATTTCGAAATGCAAAAAGTGGAATGCATTCACTGGTTCTGGGGATTACTGGGGTTTTCCAGCTTTCGAGAGGCTGGTACTCTCCTGGCTCTAGCCAATGGATTTAGAGAATCACAAAACAGAATGTCTCCCCTCTCTCTTACCGCGGCTATTTAATTCCCCCTACTAACAACCACAAAACAAATTGGTCTCCCCACCCCACCAACGTGGATATGAGGCCATAATTTTCACTAATATTCTTATTCTATTTATAAGCTACCAAACTATTTCTTACTGTTTCGATGGCCGTAAGTGAACCGGATGATGGTTTATCAATACCCCGACCCAAAGCATTCGCCTTGTCCTCAAGGTGGAAGTTTGGAAATTGATTTTTTATCGCATCCCAATCCTCCCACGAAGCTTCAGATTCTGCCAATCCTTCCCACTTAACTACAACTTCCAAATGCCTGTGATGTCTGTTCAGAACTTGCCGGACATCTAAAATGTCCTCCGGTACCACCTGCAGCTCCATGTCATCATTTAGTTGAGATGGAAGTATCGGTGATGAAGCACAGTGATAGGTACTAAATTAATAAGAATAGGAATAGGCTAGCTTTTTATTGATAGTGGCCCGATTCGAGAGGAGCAAGGTCTCCGTTTACAAGAAAAGATAAATATGAGTAACTTCGATGATAACAATGATAAGCAAGCATGTTATTTATACTATCCTATTCTTAGAATTAAGTATGGTAACTGCCACAGACGTTCCAATCTTTTTGGAGGCCCTGCTACATCCAAAACTTTTTATTGCATTGCATAAATGAGATTACAGATAATATATGTTAAGAACAAAAATGGGCTAAACCTAAAACGATTAGCAAATCTGAAACTAAACTAAAATCATTAATGATTTGAACCTAAAACCAAACAATTAATGGTTTGAACCTAAATAACTTCGGCTATAGTTTTATGCAGGTCCATAAGAGACCCTAAACACATGTAAATTTGGGCCCCAAAATTTCGGGGGCCCTGTTCAAACTCTCACATTTAACATGCTAAGGGACGGCCTAACTGCTAAAATCCAGTGTGGTAATTGCTCCCTAATTCCTTGGTTAACCATCAATTGATTTGGGTAAATTCAACCAGTTGACCATCAATTGTTTTGGCCTAGTGGATTCAGCCAATTCCCAAAAATAGAATTAAGCTGCCCCATATTGGCAGCTGTGACCCGGTTCCTTTTCCTCAAGTACACTTTCAGTGGGTTTTTATCATTACTTCCCTCCCGGTAAAACGCCTTGTCCTCAAGGCAGAATGCAGGAAATTGCTCAGCTACTAGATCATAAGTTTCCCAGGTAGATTCTTCGATGGGACGATTACACCAAGAGACCTAGAGTTCTAAGTTTGGGCGGCCAACTTCATAAACCCAACGATGAGTGATGACAGAACTTGGTTGCAAGTCAATTTCCTAGTCTTGGTGATGGGTAATGGTGCAGCTAGAACTGAATAAAAAGAGCCATGGGCACGTTTAAGCATTGAGACATGGAAGACCGGGTGGATTTTAGCTTCGGATGGTAGTTCCAACTCATAGGCAACTGGACTAACTGTTCGTTTAATACGATATGACCAAAAAACCTTGGGGATAGCCTCTCGTACAGACGATTGGCCAGACTCTTTTGACGATAAGGTTGAATCTTCAAGAAGACATAGTCACTAACCTGAAACGTGAGTTCCCGTCGCTTCAAATTTGCTTGGTTTTTCATCCGGTCTTGGGCCTTTTGGAGGTTTTGTCGAAGAAGCTTCAACATATCATCCCTATCAATTAATTGTTGTTCCAACTCTGCATTTTTGGTTTCCCCCACCACATAAGGAAACAAAGAAAGAGGTTCCCTGCCATAAACAACAGAAAATGGGTGGACCCTATGCAGTTAATAACGCGCTATGGAGCCGAAATAGTGAATAGCTGTCCTTGCCAAAACAGCGGTGTCTTATAGCGATACAGCGGCTGTTGTTACCACTATTGACTGCAATTTTGATACCAAATAACCATCGCTATTACCGATTTTTCTTTTGGGCTCTTTTTGGACTCTTTTTTTTAATTTGAATTCTATTTGGGCTTTTATTGTGTCATTTATGTGGGCTATTTAGAGTCAAACTTAGGCCTGCAAACAAAAAGGAAACCGATTAAATCAAATAGATACAATTCGGTTAAACTTTGATATTGATTCCAAGTCCAAAGCTTTGCTCATTGATTACAAGTCCAAAAAGCTTCAAATAGCTCAAGTTTTCTTCTTGATTCCACGGTTCCATGCATTTTCTGCTAGAGTTTTCTTCTCGAGCTTTCTTCTAGTCTCGACAATACAGCTCCTATAGTCCTATTACTATGTTGCTTGTATGGTTCGAATTGTTTGACTTGATATGTATTAGACATACAATATTTTAAGTTCAATATATATATATATATATATATATATATATATATATTCGTATTTATTTTATGAAGATAATATCTTTTACCGCCATATCATCGCGATAGCTGCTATTTCAAATCAAGGCCCCGACCGCCATTTCCGCAATCGACTGCGTTAACTGCTTAGGGTGAACTGTGGAATTCTTCGAATACTAAAGGAATCAAAGTTGATTGCATGGAAAGAACTGACTCGTCCTTGTATAACAACCACCCTTGATTGCATGAAAATCCTGGTGGTGGTTGTTCCCCTTTTTTAATGTTATCCTTAATCTGTTTCAACAATGGGTCCTCATCTATCTCCTCCCCGATTGACTCCCATTGCCACCATTGCGGGCCTCCCATGACTGAACATGCGGTGATTGCCCCCTTCCATGACAAGGCATCTGCTGCTCTATTAATGCTTCCACTTTATAAACGATGTCAAACTCGTAACCGAGCAACCTGCTAACCCAATGTTGGTACTCTGATTCTATTACACTTTGCTCCAACAAAAATTTCAAAATTTTTTGATCTGAACGGACCACAAACTCCCTTCCTATCAAGTAGGGACGCCACTTTTGCACAGCCAACACGATGGCCATGAGTTCTTTCCCATAGACTGATTTTTCGCGAGCTTGTAGCCCCAAGACTTGGCTGAAGAGGCTATCGGCCGTCCTGTTGCATAAGAACAACCCCTAATCCATATCCTGATGCATCGGCCTCTATTACAAATTCTTGCGTAAAGTCAGGGAGCTTCAAAACCGGTGTTGTGGTTAGGGCTTTCTTTAATGCTGTAAAGGCTACTTCAGCTTCTGCATTCCAGCAAAAATGGTTTTTGTTTTTCTTTAGTAAATCGGTTAAGGGTGCTGCCAACTTCCCATACTCCACTATAAACTTCCCGTAGTAGCCGAGAGCCCCAGAAATCCCCTCAACTCGGTTATAGTCCGGGGTTGCGGCCATTCCAGCATTGTCTGAACTTTCGAATGGTCCATTCGAACCCTGCCTTCGACACAACATGGCGTACATAAACCAAATTCTTGTCCAAATTCACACTTCTTGTGATTCGCAAACAGGAGGTATTGCAGTAGAATTTTAAACACCTGTTCTAAGTGTTTGATATGCTCATCGTATCCTTGCTATACACCAACATATCGTCAAAGAAAACCAAAAGAAAATCTCTAAGTACAGGCTTGAAGATTTTGTTCACCAACCCTTGAAACGTTATCGGGTCACTGGCCAACCCAAATGGCATGACGAGGAACTTGTAATGCCCTTTGTGGGTCCGAAAAACAGTTTTGCTTACGTCCTCAGCCTTCATTCTAATATGATGGTAACCCGACGTTAGATCCAATTTTGAAAAGATACTAGCCCTAAAGAGTTCGTCCAATAATTCATCAATTACAGGTATGGAAAAGTTACTCGAGCCTGTGCATTTATTGAGCGCTCGGTAATCCACTTTAAACCGCCAACTACCATATTTCTTCTTGATTAACAGGACAGGGCTTGAAAACGGACTATGGCTCTGTCAGACAGTGCCGGCTTCCTACATTTCCTTTATCAATTTCTCAATTTCTTCTTTCTGGTAATAAGGATACTTGTAAGGGTGTATATTGACCGGCCCACAACCCTCTTTCATTACTATTTGATGTTCCTTAACCCTCTCAAGATGCAGCTCCATATGGAGCCTCGAAAACCTTCGGATACTTCCCAAAATTTCCTCTAATTCTGTGGGAATTTCAATCGCTGCAACCTCTGTCGTGGTAAACAGCCCTAGCTCGATCAATAAACCCTGTTTCTCTTCCCAAACTTTTTCTAAGGCTTTCATCGACACTAAAGTCATGCCAAGCGATAGGTCTCCATTGAGGGCGACCGTTTCTTCACCCACTTCGAATAACATTGTCTGTGTCTTCCAATTTGCATAGGTTGCCCCCAAAGTTTGCAAATTGCACACCCAATATTGCTTCAGAGTTTCCTAAAGTAATTGGCAATAAGTCCTACAATATCCACCCCTGGAGCCTCAGCTTCACTCCCCTACACACCCCTTTTCCAGAAATTACACCCCCAGCCCCCATAGTTACCCCATAGTTATTAGTGGTCTCTGTTGGTAGGTTCATTTTGTCCACCAAAGTCTTGGAGATAAAATTATGTGTGGCACCAGAATCTATCAGAACCACAATTTGTTGACCTTGGATAAATCCCAGTATCTTCATAGTCTTGGAATTAGTAAATCCAACCACAAAATTAAGATGTACCTTGATTTTTGTTCGCATTTCTCCTAATTCCTTCTCATCCTTATCTTTTTCTGTCTAATCTGTTCGATTGTCTCCTTCATCATCTTGAACCACCAACACGTTTACCTCCTTTTGTGTGCACTTGTGACCAGGTGCATATTTGGTGTCGCATCTATAGCATAAACCTTGGGCTCTACTCTATTGCAACCCTATATCTGATAGCCGTCGATACTCCATTCCCCCTTGCTTCAGGATCCTACCAGCTTGTCTATATTTACTCCCTAAACTTTCGAATCTTCCATCGCCAGAATAGTTTTCCTTTGACTCCAAGGATTTGAGACTTTACTTCTGTTCACCACTTTGTTTTTCTCTCTCTACCTTAGCTGCCATCTCCATGGCCTCTCCTAAATTCACCGGAGATAGAAGCCGTACTTCAGCTCTAATTAAAGGGTCTAAGCTATTAAGGAATTGGCTTAAGAAAACCTCCTCGGGAATGCCATCAAGGGTGAAGCCAAAGAAATATATTGTTTTCTATGCTCCCCCACCGTTCCAGATTGCTTTGACGCCAAAAATGTTCGCATAGGGATCCTTCTGTTAACGAACGAAACTGCTTCACAATCATCAACTTTAGTTCTTCCCAACGGGTAATAGGGCATTGCTGCGATGGATTATCAAACCCAATTTTTGCATGACTGTCTGCTTCCCATTCTTCAACTACTCCACATCCTCTTTCAATGTTTCAACGTCTACTTGCACGGAACCAAAGCTGCCTTCCAATTCGTCATTTTGGCTTCGTCATCTCCAGGCTCTCCATCCTGCTCTGATACCAATTTGATATACTAGAAACAAAACCGTCAATTTCGTAACGCAAAAAGTGGAATGTATTCACTAATTCTAGGGATCACAAGGGTTGTCCAGCTTTTTGAGGGCTGGTGCTCTGCCGGCTCTAGCCAATGGATTTAAAGAATCACAAAACAGAATATCTCTTCTCTCTCTTATCGACGCTATTTAATTCCCCTACTAAGAACCTCAAAACAACTTGGTCCCTTCACCCCACCAACGTGGACATGAGGCCATTATTTTTACTAATATTCTTACCCTTCTATTTATAAGCTACCAAACTATTTCTTACCGTTTCGACAGGGCCATAAGTGAACCGGATGATGAGTTGGTGCTCAATATTAAGTGGGGGATAAAGTACTATTGTGTTAGATGTAGATCGTAATGATGGATGTTATTGAATACTGCATGCTTGATAGATACAGAAACTCATAATTGTGACTCTAAATGCGAAATTCAAGGATAACCTTGTGTTAAGATAGAAAATTGAGTGGTCGTTGTGAATAATTGGGGTTCATGGTGGTTGTGGTGTAGATCTCATTAAAATTCTTTCTTTCAACGGATCGAAGTTGCATGCAAGATTTCAAAATACCCAGTGGTTAAACTTCTGGGTATGGAGGGTTGAGAATTTAAAGTAGGGAATGAGGTGAATAATTACGAAATATTCGGGAAAGGAAAGTTGTAATAATCGATATTGTGATTATTAAGGGTGTCGTGCATGTTGTGAACTTAATCAGAGTTGTGCAGCGAAAGCGTGGCAATCTTTTGGTATTAGTTCCGTTGTTTGAAAGGTTGTTCCATGTATGAACAAATGTTTACTTTGAGGAGACAAATAGGTTGGTCCTTTGAAGGTTTCTTAAAAGTCAGAAAGCTGTGTGAGAGTCTGAACTCGAGAGGATAGTGAACTACCTTATCTTGTTTCCTTGAACGAATTCCGGGACAGAATTCTATTAAGAGGGAGCGGTTGTAATAACCCAATTCCTAAAGTTTGGTAAGATAATGGAAGTGTAGGGATGGTTTGGTATACTATGAATCTTGGAGAGCTTTTGTAAATATGGGTTATGAGCATCATTTAACCTAGCCGCCACTTTTTTCTCTTGGGAAAAAGCTTTAGCTATTTTGGAAAGAAAGCTTGGTAGAAGAAGATTTGGGAAGAAAGGATGGAGATTCAATGCAATTTTGAGAGAAGAAAGGAAAAATGTTGAAAAAAGAAGAAGAGGAAATTGTTTCTCCATTTCAAGTATGGTTTCTAGCCTCCCAATGCAGAAGTTCATTTATCTCCTTTTTGGGTTTTTAAATCCTTGATTTAGCAAGTTGGAGGTTTTGGATTTTAGGGGTTTTGTTCTTGGGTGGTAAATGTGTAAGGAAATGTGAGTTTATTGTTATAACCTTTTTGGCTTGATGAAATCAGTGGGATTTGGATTATTTATTTGATTCAATGTTGGGTTTTATCAAGTTCCTTGGGAAGAGTTGGTTTTTCATTCTAGGATGTGCTAATCTAAGGTTATGGATTGAGTAAATGTTTATTAAAGTATGGAGATCTTTCATATGATTGATTGTGAAGTATTTTGGTGTTTTTGTCAAACAGTGGGAAATGATAAGGAATGAGATTTCTGGTTAAAGATCGAGTTTTGGTCGAGCGTAGATCGAAAAGCAGCCAACACAACCTGCACTGCGACCTGGGGTCGCACACAACACTGTTTCATGCACTTTCGAGACTCGTAAATTTATGTTGTGGGACCAGTTTGGGACTTCATTCAAGGGATTTATATAGAGGTTTATAGAAGAGGATCAGGGAGCTATTTACAAGTGTTTAACACCTTTCTTAACTGATTAATTCAGGCATTCGATTTATGAATTTCTAGCTGTTAAGACTCGGTATGGGTTGTGTGACCGCAGGTGAGTCTCTTGTACTATTTTACTGATTTGCAAGAAATGCTTTGATGGTATGTGAACATGGTTTACGAAATGTTTAATTGAAATTGTACAGGTATGCTCTATATGTTTATACTGCATATGAAATTGTGGTGTCACATGGGGTGCATGTGGGTGGGTAACTGTCAATGCGGGAGTAGGTGCATGTGAGACCATAATGGTCCTCATGTAGAGTTTCGTTTTCATTGGTGCTATAAGAATTCGTTTCTTGTAATCCCAATAGTTTGCGATCTTGTCAGGGTGATTACATTCGTGGGATGGATTTTTGCAACCGCTGTGGATCCGTTACCTGGGTAAAATTGTAGCATGCGAGTCTATGTTATTTTTGTGTACATGTTTATAAGAAATGATATGGAAACTTACTTTTTCAACTATTACCATTGATCACAAGGAATTCACTAGACTTTATGGTCTAACCCTCGTTTTCGAACTAAAACATTTTCAGGTGAGTATTAGGGTGAGAATGCTAGCATGAGAAAGCGTAAGCTGTAAACCTTGGGAAGAAGGTTGTTTCAATTACTGGTTTGCTAGTAGGAATGTTTATTTTATGCTTTTGCTAGAAGCTCGAGTTGTTAAACTTTGGTAAGGATCTTAGCTTCGGGTAGTTTCATTTCTTTTTGCTGTTGATTTCTCAGAGATCTTGGAAATATTGTATTATTGGATCCTTGATGGTTCTTATATTGGTTGATTGTTTGTTATTGAGGTAATTTTAGATTTTAGGGTGTTACAGAGCCCACCTTCGGGTGGTATATATTGCATTTGTTTGATTTGTTTAGATTAAGTGAGAGTGCAACATCAAGCAGTGAACTGTCTCTAGAGAAGGCAAATACAAACAGATGAACCCCCCTCCCCCTAATTAGCAGCAAGTCTTGAACACCACAGAGTGAAGTAACACATAACATGTAACTTCAAGGGGTCTATCCTCCGTCTACAACTTTCTCCCGCTTCACTTTTAGCATCAATCAAACCCAAATAACAACCAATCTCATTGAACAAATTGGTTAACTTGTTACATTCAGAAGATGCTTTGGATATGTTAAGCAACTCTAATTGAAATTGCTTTTGAAAGGCAAAGGTTATAGCTTGGAGTTGGTTTTGGACAAAACTCATGTAGGAAGTAAACAAGATACCTTAGCTAAAGCACTACCTTAAGTTTTGTGGCCAAGGAGCTCTGCGAAGAATTTGGGTAACCAATTGACATCTAAGATAAGCAGAGTGACCGAAAAGGGCACTAATGTTCTGGGCTTAGCAAGGATTGAGAAGGGAAGTCTTCGTGACAACATTCTCTTTCATTTCCTGAAGAGGTTGTTTCTATGAGCAAAACCCTTAATATGAATCAACTGGTTGCTTCACTATTTTAATCATGTGAGATAACTTTCCCAAATTTATATTATTCAAAATAAATACACTGAAACGACAAAAAATTGGCACATTATCCTTGATTCATTCTTTACATAACCTAGCAGTTCAAATAAAAAAAAATAGCTAAAGAAGCAAGGACACAAGCAAGACCTTCTAGGATCCTGATAATATCTCCCCTGACACATTTATGCATTGTGTGTGTTAGTCCGCATCTGATGACGAATTTAACACTAGTCTCACCATCCATTGGCGAATGCAAGTATGAATCTTCCTCGTCCCCAATCACTATAATCAATAAACTGCTATCTATCAGATATGTGCATTCATACCAACCGGCATATGGCCCACTGGTATCCGTTGATCTATGCAACCTAAAGGTTCTGAGTTCAAGTCAGAGACATTACATTTGTCGTATCAGATTGTTGGTTCCAATCAATCATTTCACTTAATGAACAGAGGTAGCTGATGACTCAAAACATTTGGGGGGAAATCCCGTATCTATGCATCTCAAGCGCAAATTTTTCATCAATTTAGGTTTCTTCATATCAAGTAGAGATGATAATATGATGCAAACAAATCAAAACAACCAGGAACACAAATTTAGAATGGTCACCTTCTTTCTGTCAGGAAATTTAATTGTAGGGTTGTGGCACAAGTGGGGGCGTTTATCGGCATAATAAGCAGCAGAGAGTGGAAGAGTTTTTGAAATGTGAAGAGACGAAGCAGACGCCATTGGAGATTGCTATGGAAGGTTTTCTACTGAGAGAACTGGAGATGAGGTAATGGAACATTAGCGGTTATCTGAATTTGGGGTTTTAATTTTGCTTTGAAGTCCTTGAGGTTTTGCCAATTATATATTGACCACCAGAGTTGCCAAGTTAACATTTTAGGTAACGGGTTCTTTGCGACATGGCGTATGATTTAGTGGCTAAAAACTCGGGGAATGCTTGTTTTCAACTTAATAACTTCAGGGGTTGTTTACTTGTTTCTTATTAGCACTTATTGAATAAGAAGCTCTTAGGAGCCATTTACCAAACGTTTACCGAGGTAAGCGTTTATCAAGTCACGTTACTTTATTGGATGAATATGATAAGGACTAAAAATCTTACTCGGTAAGAGCGAGATACGGACTAAGAGTCTTATCCGGTAAGTGAGGGCGACGACTCTTACTATAATCTTGCATACGATGTCGTTTTGGTGGAAAGAGTCTTATCTGGTAAGTGAGGGCGACGACTCTTACTATAATCTTGCATACGATGTCGTTTTGGTGGACTAAAATCTTACCTGATAAGTAAATGATAGTGTTAAATTTTACCCGTAAGCGCTTCCAGATAGGCTATCAGAGGAAGAAGAGGGTTCATTTAGGGTACATACTTGAGCAGAGGTTGATGACGAGGGATCACTGAAGGATGATGTCTCAAATGGTTCATCTTTGACATCCTTGGCCATGAGACAGAGGTAGGTCGTGTCTTCCTTGTCAGAGGATGATTCATCAGAAGAATCAGCCCAATCATGCTCTTCAGCAACAAGACCTTTGCCTTTACGCTGAAGATTCTTCATCTTCTTGTACTTCTCCTTCAGTTTCAGTTACTTGTTTTTTTGAGGCCTGAAGGAGGATGGGAGGTTGAAAGATGGCTCCGCAGCTTTCTTCGACCTGCATTCACTAGCAAATGTTCTTTGCATTGACAGTTGTAGTAGTTAGCTGAGGCCTTGTCAATGGAATTTGACTTTGGCTTGTCAACGATGGTCAGGGAAGGAGATATGCGGAAGTTGCTTTTTCTAGCGAACCTCCTGAAGGAGTTTGTAAGGAAGGACAACGACTCATCAAACTCTGAAAGATCAGCGTCTGCAAGTCCTCAAAGTTAGAAGGATAACTCAGTGATAGAAACATAAGAAGAAGAAGTAGAAGAAATAGAAGGGTCAGCTAAAGGGCTATTAGAGATCAAAGCTAAATGAGAGGTTTTAATTTCTCTGGAGTCTTTTAGAAGATTCTTCTTTAGTTGACGGGATTGCTCATGATTAAGCAATATCCCATAAAGAGAACTGAAGGAAAGGGATGACATATCCTTAGACATCTTGAGACACATGGTATAATTATCCTATGATTCTTTCAAGGAACTTTGTCAGCGTCTCTGAGATAGAATATTCTATTCCAGTTGTTTTCAAATCAATAAGAAGACAATTAAAGTGTTGATGTACTTCAGACAAAGATTTAGATTTTTCACAAAGAAAACATTCATATTGTCTTACTAAGTTTATCTTCCTCGATTCTTATACTTCAGAAGTACCTTCATATTGAACACAAAGAGTGTCCGACATGGTTTTTGAGGTTTTAAGCTTCATCAGAGAGTGATAAACCTCGTCAAGAAGAGTCATGGCTATTATAGATCTCGCACGAGTATCTAAAGCCATATTCTTCTTGTCTTCGTCACTCCACTGATGAGGGAGCTTCAGAATTTGTCGTTTAAGAATCGCGACAGTCGTAGATGTAGCAAGAACTGTTGGAGAGATTGAAAATGAAACATATAGTCCATTCTCAATGTAGTATGGAATATCATAATCCACATCCTCTAAGAAAAGAGACATCCGGTTCTTTCAGAGACTGAAGTTGTCTCTAATGAACTGGGAGGTTTAGCAAGAGGGTCATTGTCGTAAAAGTTTGTGCTCGTGTTTTTCAAAGCCATTTGAAAGGTAAACAAATTATCTAGAAAGAATAGATAATAGAATACCAATAAAACAACAATACAACATTAAAACAAACACTGCTCTGATACCACTTGTTTGTCCCAACCGAATCTACAAGCGTTTATAGGTAACAGTTTGTAGAAAGGAGGAGGGGATGAATACAAACACAACAACTTTCACTTTTAAAAAACTTATATTGATAAAAAAATATCAATACAATTTTTTACAGTTTGTTTGCGTAAGAGATATGATACATAACCTATCTAGACAATCAAAGATAAAATTCCAATTTTTAGTAGATAAAATGGAATGAAAATAATTTAATTTTTAATTGGACTAATTATATTGAAAACATTTATCAAAGTATCCACATCAGAAGTGACCTTTAAATCGTTTAACTTCTTCTTCTTCACACACAAAATTACAGATAGCAAGAAGAAAAGACTTGATACAAAAATAGGCTAAGAAGTAATGTGTTATTCACTTGTTATAGTGGGTCTTTCTCTTAGATAGAGAGTAAGAATGAGAGGTATCTTCTTGGGTAAGATCTTCAAAGCAATGATGCTTGGATGTTAGAGAGAGGTGTAACTGAGAAGAGAGAACTACTTAGCTATTTATACCATTGCATTAAATGCAATTCATAATGTACAAAGCACGTGGCAAGCTTTAAAAGGTAAGCTTGTCCATTGTTGACTAATAACAATCAACCTCGTTGTTCACTCCTTGTTACTAAGTTTTATCCAAGTAACTTTTGATGACACATGTTGTTTCACTTGGATGAGTTGGACTTAAATGTAAGCCAACACAAATATTAGACTATTGAGTGTTATAAATGACTAAAAAGAGTTGTGTCAATCTTCACGAGTTGCAAACTATATGGAAAGAATTGTAAGGTCTGTACCATTCTCAGAGTTGTGCTTTTTTGAACACTGCTAGCAATAGTCTAACCCGAACCTTAAACAGGGTTGTTGAATCCAATAATGTCAGTTGAGAACTATTATTGTGACAATTTCTTCAGGTGCTGTAACAAGGTTCTACTACACTTAGTTGTTAAAGTCCAACCTAAACTTGTACCCTTGCTTTTTTTTTAAACTATTTTTAACATATTTGAAATAGGAGATGCCACATTTGTAATAGGATTTAAACACAAAGTTTATGGCATAATGATTCAATGATAGAATCTCACTAGCTAGGGTACATGAAAGACTGCACTAGCACATGAATTGGTGGAGAAATATATAAGGGTAGAAGTATGTAAAAAGGGTCATATGTAACCCGTGGAGAAACCTCGCTGAGATTGCAAGTGTGGTATATTTAATAGTAATACTTTACTTTGTTGGCACCATCTATGATTTCCATGATATGTTGTTGTTCAAGGTTGCTGTCAACAACCTTAAAGTAGGAATGTTTGGAGTTTTGTAGCTTTTATATAAGAGGAGATCAATAGTTGGAGTTGGAGGAGATTAATGTTTGAAGTTATGTGATTTGAAGTAATATGGAAGGAGATGAAGTTGAGATAATGCCTATATGTTAGCAAATTATTGCGTTCACTGATAACAATCAACTCCACTATTCAGTCCTTGTTTCTAAGTTTCATCCAAGTAATTTTTAACAATTGACACATATTGTTTCACTTGAATGAGTTGGACTTAAATGTAAGTCAACACAAATAGTAGACTACTGAGTGTTATAAATGACTAAAAAGAGTTGTGCCAATCTTCACAAGTTACAAACTATATGGAAAGAATTGTAAAGTCTGTACCATGCTCAGATTTGTGCTCTTTTGAACACTGATAACAATAGTCTAACCTGAACCTTAAAGAGGGTTGTTGAATCCAGTAATGTTAGTTGAGAACTATTATTGCGACAATTTGTTCAGGTGCTGTAACAAGGTTCTACTACACTTGGTTGTTAAATTCCAACCTAAACTTGCACCCTTGCTTTTTTTTTTTTTTTAAAAAAAAAAAAACTATTTTTAACATATTTTTTGTAGCGGGTAACTCACTCAAAATCATTCATTCAAATTCACCATCTGAAATCTTACTTTAAATTTGACTTGTTAGAAATCATTACTTTCTTGTCCCTGTGAATCAATATATGTTATTCTTACCACTATTATTTATTTTAAGACGATATTGGAAGGACATGTATACTTGTTCGATTTCCCAATTACCATAGCCTTTTGTGGTTGCGTATATATGACAACACTTGGTTTAAGAGGAAGGTATTGAACCACCTTTCATAGAACCTTCAAACCATTTTCGCTAAAGCGTGACTCTTTATGGTCATCATTTGGATATTGGATAAGGTATGCATACTCATTCTGATAAAAAAAACACAATCCTTATTGCATCCAGGTACTTTTATTTCTCCTCCAAACCCCAAATCACATATGCATTTTTTTCGTCATAGAAGTTATTTGTGAATGAGGTTGAAGTTGACATGACTTCTTTTAATATACCAAGCAAGGCATCAAAGTGATGGATCAACCACTCATTGTCTTTAAATGTAAAATATTAACACTGAAAGAAAGTTCTGAATAATTTTGACATCATTTATAAATCTCTTGGTGTGATTCAACTGGTATTATTATATGAATGGTTTCTAATTCTTCGTCTGAATACAAGAATATCCACCACTAGTATGCCAATCATCACCCGGGTGCTTTGACTTCTGTTATTTAGCATCCCATCAAGGTCATTGTATTAGCTTCATCACTTTTAACAAATAATATACCATCTCACCATCGTCCAAGACATCACAAGATTCACCATGATATATCCATCTATCATAACTAATACAAATCCCTTTTTGCATGAAATGTGAAAACACAGTTGTTTTACCATGCCGACGAAAATTGTTGCTAATTTTACAAGGGCGAGGAATTCTGTATGATACATTGTTGTCATAGTATGCAAAATTAAGAAATTCGTTCACACCTATATCATATGAGTGATCCTTTGTAACTATGTTCATCCAAGACTTGTACTATATCCTTAATTAAAAGAGAAGTTCCTGAAAATGCTACAATGTAAAGAGAAATTCACAGTTTTCGCATATACTTGGTGTACACAACAGACTTGTGTATAC